CTGCTACTATGTTGAAAAAGTAATACATTGCCATGGGAGTGAAATTCAAAGAAGGAAGGTAACAATTTAAGTGGTAACTCTACCTCCAATAAATATTTTAGGGGCAGTGGGAAAGGTTGCACTAACCTCAGAAAATGCATGGGCAATTTTACAAAATGCCAGTTGGACAAGTTTGTGTTTTTTTATTTGATTTTCAAATTTGGCCAAAAGCGATATTAAACCCAAAACTAAAAATGTGATATATTGAAGGTTAGCAATCATTAGATGTAGTGGCTATACTAGTTTTCTATTTTAGGCTTTTCCTTCTGTTTTTCTGGCCAGTAACACACCCACTGAATTATACAGACACGTTCTTCATGAAGGAGCACAGGAGGCACATTTGGAGAGCAGCATTGTCAGTCTAGGGGGAGAGGAGTGTTAAAATATTAGAAGATTTAAACAAAGTAACAAACTGAAGCCAAACACCAGCAAATAATTATAATCAGTTACAGCAAACAGTTTTTTCTTTTTGGGAAGAAGTTTTTACATAAATAAAAGCTGATCATTCTAAGCACCCTTGTGTGTGTTAAATGGCCTGTCTCAATCCTGTAACTGCAAGAGAGTTTTTCAGTTGAATAATAACAGACTTACTGTCTGGATCAGCAGAAGAAAATAGAAGAAAGAAAGCCTAAAAAGGAAACTAATGCAGCCACCCCACCTAAGATTCAGTAAACTGTAATATGGGGGTTATTTACTAAAACTGCATGTTGCAACATTTGGTGCAGTTCTGCATACAAACCAGTTAGCTTCCAGGTTTTTATTGTCAAAGCTTCATTGAACAAGCTGAAGTTAGAAATTGACTGGCTACCATGCACAGTTGCACCGGATTCTGAGTGCATCAGTTTTATTAAATATCCCCCTATGTTTGTTTTTGAGTTTAAAACTGCTTTCATGCAAGCAGATATTAATTGGCTTAATATAAAACATGTTAATAATAAAAGGCTAAGTGCAATGTGACATTTTTCTGTTTTAACTTGATAACCACATAAAATATGGCATGCATATTGCCAAATAAATTGTGTGAAATATGCTTAATAAATATGACCTATATATTAGCCATTGTCACACTTCCTACAAATATAGTTCATCCACAAAAAAAATTAAATATTTGGTTGCTTTCAATTTTATTGTTTGCATTTCTTTCCCTAGTTTACTGTACCTGAAAGAATTTGATATAAAACTGAGTTTATTTTTTTCACGTATTAGCTTTAAAAGGGTATGTAAACATGTTCACGCATAATACAGTAGAATCTTACTGCATGACTTTTCATGATATTTTTTTTTTTTGTTTACCACTAGATGTTACAAATTCATGAAACAAGAATAAAATAAACAGAATATGTTGGTATCTGATTATTCCAGTTTTTCTGTATAGCATGCTACATTTTATTTGTTTACTGCCCTCAATATGTTGTTAAGAAGGTTTTTCAGCAAGGGTGCAAAAACAACAGCTGTAATAAAAGAACAAAAGACTTTTATGTAAATGATATATTTTACAATAAATCAGCAGAAAATGTATTAACCAAAAGAGTGTGCTGGCTCTACCTATTCCCTTCTATAAAAATATGCAATGATAATTCTTAAAAAATATATTTAAAGCCATATAGTGATTATAGTGTGAAATCAGTTTTAGCTAAATGCCTGAATATGGGGGATAACAGCTTCAGATATTGGCCATTAAAGTTTTATTTTTATTTAAGGATGCTACTTGGTTTTCTTGTCCTCATACAAGGTTCTGTAGACTGGGGACAATACATTTATGGTTGATATAAAAGTGCACAGTGTTAACTAGTTGACATATGTGTGGATGAAACATTACTGATTGTCCACTGCAGCCGGGGAGGCCGAGTTTCCATAGAGATAAGAAGGAAAAGTGCTCCATGCAACCTAATTGGTATGCATCTCCAGATCAGGTTCATTGTGTTTTTGCTAATGACAGGGTTGTCTCAGTAATAAGGATGGTGCACTGGAGAAATTTGCTGCCTTGGTATATTTTTCCCTGGCAGAAAACTACTTAGAGACTGTAGTCAGTAAGAAGAGTGACTGGCAGGCTGAAGAGGCTGCTTAGCAGCATATGGGGGAAGGCTGGCGCTCTGTGCCACTTGCATATGGCTGCCATTAAACTCCAGCTTTGCGCTTTGTGTATTTCTGGTCCCATGCCAGTAAGCCCACCTGCTGCAAGAATACTTGTAAAGCACAACTCAAAAGTGATTGAAAAGCTACTAGAATAAACTGTAATAACACACTGCTTCACAGATGGGACATAATTGCAAGCTAAAGTGTACAGCCTCTGCAGTAATGAAAACATGAGCCATTAAATTAAAATCATAAGGGGAAAAATAAAAAAAAAGTCTTTTAATTTTTTTGATAGTTTTATTGCAAAACTTCAGATTTCCTGCCCTCATTAATCAAATATCATAAAAGTATAGTGCTACTTTGTTCTTTTCCACAAAAAAAATGCAAAGCATGCTGATTAAAATGATGTAACCCTTTTATTTCAGCTTCCTTTAAAGCCAATGAATATGAGAACGAATTGATCACTTTTAAAGGGGAAATGCTTTCTCAGCCAATGATTTAGACTTAAACTTTTGTTGGCAATGCGATTTTTCATTTTGCTTTTCGCTGAAATACTTTCAGCTTAAAACAATAAATTATAACACAATTACTTTGTGACATTTACAAAAAAAAAAGTCATTTTAACATTAAAATTGCAATGCATAACAATGTAAACAAATAAAAGTACTTGAGGAATATTCAAACACAATTTTAATTAGTGGTAGTACCGTAATAAAGAAATTGCTAATCTGACATGTAATTAGTTGTACAGTGTGCATGAGTTGTTATGTGAAGTTGAATGAGCTCAGCAGGGCTCTAATACATTCTGGCCTCTCAAGGGGTTTTTTCTAGTGTTAAGAGGCCTGACAGAACCATCTTTGTTCTGTTCCCTTTCTGTGGGTGGGCGCTGCCAGGGGAATGAAACATTTGTTTCCCAGTAGTCATTGAAGTAAACAGGGTTTAAAAACCTTTTCGAAGTTTTAATTATGCATTACTCCAGATTCTACCATGGTAAAGTCAGTAGGAAATGAATTAACTTGCAACATAAATCCTGCTTAGAGATAGATAGATAGATAGATAGATAGATAGATAGATAGATAGATAGATAGATAGATAGATAGATAGAACTATTGTGATTAAGTCCCAAAGCCCAGTGGGAAATAAATTAACTTGGTCCATAAATCCTGCTTAGTGATTGATAGATAGATAGATAGATAGATAGATAGATAGATAGATAGATAGATAGATAGATAGATAGATAGATAGATAGATAGATTGTGATTAAGTCCCCAAGCCAAATATCTAAAAAAGCTAAAAAAAAGACAGTTATTGCAAATTTTTATAGTTACAGTATATGTGGTCATATTTACAGTTAGACATTCATTTACTATATGATCAATTTTAGGCTTACAAAGGCAATTTAAATGACATGCTAGCCAGTTAACTCCTTGTTGTAGACTGCCTCTTCTGAAATCAAACTGTTGCAAATGAAGCAGTTGTCGACTAGGAGTTAAATCTGTTGCTAACAAAGAATAAAAAAGTCTGGGTGGATTCAACAAGTTTTGACTCCAGAGTTCACTTCAAGAAGCCAATCAGCTAAGGGAGTAGTTTAAGAAATACAATTTTAAAATAGAGCTTTTCCTGTAAGCTGGCTGCACGTCTGAATGCAATGGAGGTTCACAGAGCAATGTTAAAAATACATAGCCTTTCCTTTTGTCTGTTTTTTCTTAGCTTAAAATTTTTTATTTTTTTTTATTGAGGCTAAATTAGCTGCCATAACAAATGTATGGAATGATTAAACAGAAGCTTGTCTAACTTTTACACAGGTTTGTGTTCTTTTCACATACCCAGTCAGATTCAGGTAAAAAAATTTACTTTTTAAAATTACATGGAACATCATTGGGCATTTGAAGTGAACAAAGGCTAGGGTGAATTGATTTACTAAAGTCAAGTTCAGCTTGCCAACAAGGGAAAGTAGTGTTTGAGTTCCCTTGCTGGAAAGCTAATGCACATTGTATATTCTTGCCCATGAACATTCTCAATTGTGGCCCTGCTCAGTGGACAAACTCCTGACAAAATAATAAACAATAGGTATTGTTCATTTTATAGACATTTCTGAGAAATAATTTTCTAAAAAAAAAAAGTCATATAAATAGAAATATGTTGAAATATGAGTGTAGAAAAAAGAATGTAAAAAATGTTCAGAATAACGCCAATAGAAATATTGAAGTTTCCCATATTTACAAGCATATATTATTTAACTACTTAGAAATAATTATGAAAGGGATTGGTACATTTAGGGCTCTTTCAGAGAGGTGGTAATGCTTATTGTCCTCTGAAAAGCAATCTGCTGGGGATTGCCTTTCAGAGGATGGTATAGCAGCAGCTGGCAAGCGTTTATGTAGCATTACTGTTGCCTCCTGCTGCCTATTTTTTTTTAATTGCTTTATTTACCAAACAGCAATTTTACATTGCAGCCCTGTGATGCAACTGTCATCAAAGCGCTTGGCTCACGGCTGCTATGCATTCTCATTTATCTCACTTGGTGAGCATGACAGGTGGTGTTGCCTGTCAGACTCTGCAGTCTGAGTTAATATTGTAGCAGCTACAAAAGCATAGTGACAACAGCATGTGTTCAGCCCTTTCATACTGTAATGTTCCACTGGGAGACAGTAAAACCATGGCTCAGAAACCTGTTTTTACAGCCCTTTTGGCCCTTACAGACAACAAAATGTGTTTACTTTTTTACTTAACTAATTTAAGTGTCCTCTGCCCACTTCATTGATTTCAGAGGAACATGTTTTTTTAATGTACATGTTGCATGGCTTTTGTAACTGTCGTGTTCACCCGTTTTCAAGGATTTATTAACCTCCCTGGCGGTATTCCCGAGTGTAGCTCGGGGTAACATTTCAGTACCAAAAGCGGTAACCCCGAGCTACACTCGGGAATACTCTGCGGCACTGCTCCGGTATTTGTTCTTCACTTACCTTACCCTGCGCTCCCACGATGTGTCCCCTGCAGCGTCCCCGGCCATCTCCTCCGGCCGATGCCGGCATCCGGCTTCTGTGTCCTGTCCCTGTGACGTCGGGACGTACGGGCGCCGCCGCCGCCACCACCGGCGGCGGGAAATTTAAAAATTTTAAAAAATGTCATTTTTTTTTTTTTTTACATTTTACATAGTAAAACATTGCTGTCTCAACCAGTTTCACATACATTTTGTCCCGAGTGCTTTGTCCGGCGCCCTGCCTGCATTTTGTCTGTTCTTTCTGCCTGGAAACTGAGAAACGTCCATGGCATCCAAAAAGTGTCCCTTTAGGTCAAAAGCGGTTTAGATCAGCTAGAAAACAGCGATAGTAAATCAGAACCACTTGCAGAATAGAGTGATAATGATTCGTGGGGGAAATTTGTCATCAGACACTGAAAACTATTTTGCGACTGAGCTCAGCAATGTGCGAACTTGGCGCTATATTTCAAATTTCAGTATTTTTGGTTTGATTATATTATTGAATTAAATTTTTTATTATTATTATATTATTTTTATGATTATTTATTAAATTATAATTTATGATTTTGTGTTTCAAATTTTATCATACCCGGGATGTTTACTAGACTCTTGTTCGGACAGATTTCAGTGAGTTTTTCCTAAAAATTACAGGCCTACAATTAAAAAAATACATATTTCCATGCAAAAAAATGGTACCGCTTTCAGCACTAAAAATCTGAAATAATCATACCGCCAGGGAGGTTAAAGAAATACCTGCCAGTGACTGTAGACAAGCAAATCTCAAGTGGGCAAATATGCACTACATGGGCATTGCATATGCTGTGTGTTCCCTTTAATTTGTGTAATATGTGTTTTTATAGTTTTGGAGTACAATACAAAAAGTATTGATTAGATTACAAATTAAATACATTGATCTCAAAACCACTTATGAGTATTAAGTGGCATACCAGAATTATGAGCTTTGAGATATATACGATTTTCAAATAAAGCAGATCTTGAGTATCACAATATTTTTTCATTAATATAGTTATTTATTTTTAGTAGGTAGAATAATAACTCATGCTTATTACAATGTATTAATGAAAACACAACATGAGGATTACATTAAAATAACACCATATATTTTAATTCAGTTGTAAAGTATCTTTGCTTTTTTCTGTTACATTTGGAAACGATGCTTCATCAGGGCTCCATGTCACTATGGTGTCCGTTTATGAACCAGCGGTAATAGATCTCTGCTCAGTTCTCTGGCATTCTCGGAGAACACAGTTCTCCTGTGAATGCAGTTTATGAAGCAGTTCTCCGAACGAAGGGAGAACGGTCTCCAAATGCTGGAGAACGGTCTACAAACTCTGGAAAACGGCTCATTTTACTATAATCTCACGAGATTACAGTAAAAGATCAGTTTACTAAGCAGAGGTAAATTATCTCTGCTTAGTTTTCGGTCCCTCTGATTCTCCAGCTCTGGGCTGGAGAATCTGGAGGGAGAACACAGATCTCCAGAGAAGGGCTGACATGATCTCCTGAGTGTCATAAACTTTGAATGACCAGAGAATAGCTGAGATCTGTTGAATCGCAGCTATTCTCTGTGTCATAAACGGACACCTAAGTGTACAGAATGTTCCAGTCATGTGTAAATGCCAATGTAGTGTGAACTGTGCCCAAAGAAAAAGCATTTACCTGTAATAAATCTTGCTAAGGAATCAGTTTACATTTCTGGAGATTACTTATGATTTAGAAAAACCCTTTGGGCTGGGTAATGGGATAATGACATTTACATTTCCATATAGCATCATACCAGGTCTGCTGTACTGGATATCTTGTGTTTTTTCTTTCAAAGACACAGTATTATTTATTTACTACAGCAGTAAAGACCGTTCACTTTAGCAAAGAAAATGTTGCTGTAGCTACGGACCCAATGATTGTTTTGAAATTTGATTTTCACTGAATTTAGCCATTACTTACGCATTTTGCACTCTATACCCAGTTAGAATTGCATATGTTTGTCACAGGTTTACTTTAAATGTAGAGTTTGTGGAACCAATAAATTAAAAATAAATGTTAAAAAAAATCCTATTTACTTACCTTTGTCAGTTGATAAATGTTTTTAGCAATGTCTTCCTATTGACTTCTCTTTAGCAGCAAAAGCATCTTTAACATGCAAAATATTTATTGATGTGCTGGTTTGTTATTCCCTCATACCTTTCTGTAGAGAACTGTTGACCTTTGGTATAGAAACAAACAAATAAATAATGATGAACTAAAATATTTTGCATGCCCTGAATGTAGCACAATGAAATAAAAAACAACACAAGCAACTGCTTTCAAAAATGTTATAACTGCTTTCAAAAATGTTATACACACAAAAAAAAACCTCCCTCTACCTTTACCTATGTATAAATAAAGTCCCCTTTACATAGTAAGAGGTAAAAAGATAAATTCCCCAATTATCCACAAATGATGCAAAAAAAAACCCCTAAAATATTAAGCCAGCACATTAACAAATATTCACAGGTGTCAAAAAGTATCAAAATGAAACAAAAGAGTGTAACATTGTTAACGTCTGTGACAGATGATTTATCCTTTTAAAATCACCAGTACAGCATGATCCATAGAGCATGCAGGGAGTAATAGTAATTTTATCATTCACTTACTCATTGGAGTGAGTGTGACATCCCGCTATAGGTACATCATGTTATGAGATTTCCAGCATAATACAAATAAAGGAGGAGTAGGACAAAACTGTTGGAGCTCCAGCCACTGGTCTCCTGACTGATAGCGATAAGATGGTGGAATGTTCCTGATGTCTTCATGTGCAGAGCAGATCTATACACACAGTCAGGAACTGTCCAACACACAAAACCACTAGACTGTGGAGGGGGCAGAAGCAACAGGGACTGGTCTTGTGTGGGGAAGTTGGAGGAGTAGGCAAGTATATTGCCCTTCTCCAATCCACTAGACAAATATGAGCACAGCCCCACTGCACAAGAAAAATTTTTTTGCCCAGAGTTGGGCTTTAATGTCAAGGGACTCAATCACCCAAATAAGGTAACACAAATACTGCATAATTTAGAGAAAAGAGATATCCCACTTTGCTAGGAAACTCATTTCCAAAAACATAACCATCTGCCTACTGATATTATCTGGTATCATGGTAATAATGCTATTGCTAAATCCAAAGGGGTCTCTACAGCAATTCACAAAACATGTCAAATTAAAATGCTTGACACTAAATTGTCACTCTCCAACAAAGTCCTAAGAGTAATATGTCCCAAATGTCTCAAATATCTTTGCCTTCTGTGCAATTTTTCTGAAGGTAATATCATTGTCGTACTTGACCCGAAAATAAATTTTGGGCATAGATGTGCACAGCCATTACGGTGTGCACCCCAAAGATCAAACACACGTGTGTGTGTGTGTGCATGTATGTATAAATATATGTATGTACTGTGCAAACGTTTTATGTAGGTGTGTAAAAAAATGTTGTAAATTAGGAATGCTTTCAAAAATAGAAGTGTTAATAGTTTATTTTTATTAATTAACAAAAAGGAAAGTAAATGAACAAAAAAGAAATGTATGTAGGCTGCCTCAAATCCTTCTGTCTTTTCATGTAATCCCAGACAGACTTGATGATGTTGAGATCAGGGTTCTATTGGGACCAAACCATCACTTCCATGATTCCTTGTTCTTCTTTATTCTGAATATAGTTCTAATGACATTGGTTGTATGTTTAGGGTCATTGTCCTGCTGCATAATATATTTGGAGCCAATCACACGCTTCCCTGATAGTATGGCATGATGGATAAGTATCTGCCTGTATTTTTTTTATCATTGAGGATACCATTGATCCTGACCAAATCTGCAACTCTATTTGGAGAAATGCAGCCTAAAATGTGAATGGAACCTCCACCATGCTTCACTCTTGCCTGCAGACACTCATTATTGTACTGCTTTCCAGCCCTTCAGTAAACAAACTGCCTCCTGCTACAGCCAGATATTTCACATTTTTGCACAGCTTTTTGCAAATATTTAAAAATCATTGCACAGAGCAGGTAAATATGACATGTTTGTTATTTAAAAAAAATGTTAACCTTTGTGTCACTTCAAGTTTCCTTGGCCAACCACTGTGTCTATGGGCCTCAATGTTGCCCATTTCTTTGTGCTACTTCAAAAGAATTGAACAGCACATCTTGAAATCCCAGTTTCCTTTGAGATCTTTGCCTAGGAGAGGCCTTCAGTATAAAAACTTTGTGTCTTGTGTTCAGTCTTGCCATGGTGCATGACCTATGACATGAAACTGTCTTCCACAACCTCATCTTAGTAGCAGAGTTTGGCTGTTCCTCACTCAGCTTTAAGCATCCTACACAGCTGTTTCTGTTTCAGTTAATGACTGTGTTTCAATCTACATATGAAATTATGTACCTAGATGGTATAATTGATTAATCATACACCTGACTCTAATCCTACAAAATCCTTGACTTTGTGCAAGTGTACAAAGTGTGCAAGTATAAGAATTGATGCTCGTTTGAAGCCAGTATTCACATCAAATATTTATTTGATTTACATTTTTCTTCTGTTCGCTCATTTTGTATATTGTACATTGATATATATATATAAATATATATATATATATATATATATATATATACAGTATCTCACAGAAGGGAGTACAACCCTCACATTTTTGTAAATATTTTATTATATCTTTCCATGTGACAACACTGAAGAAATTACACTTTGCTACAATGTAAAGTAGTGAGTGTAAAGCTTTCATTAACACTGCGGCTTCCTCAGCAGCTGCTGGTAGGGGTAATCTCCTTTCCTGGTGGCTGCTGGGGGTGATGGCTTCTAAGGGGAGCAGCGCCGGTCTCCCTGCTTCTTACCCACCTGCTGAACGACATATCAGACTGGATGTCGCTCCATTTCCTCAAACTGAACCTTTCCAAAACCGAGCTCCTAATCTTCCCCCCAGCCTGCGCCCCCCCACCCTCTCCATCATGACCAACAACTCCACCATCAGTCCCACCCCGCAAGCCAAAGTCCTAGGTGTCACTCTAGACTCAAACCTGTCCTTCCAACCCCATGTCCAATCGTTGGCAAACTCATGCAGACTCCACCTCCCTTCTCACCGGCCTACCTCATCACAGACTATCCCCGCTTCAGTCTATCCTGAACTCAGCGGCCAGACTCATCCACCTTACCAACCGCTCCTCTTCTGCCACCCCCCTCTGTCATTCCCTCCACTTGCTCCCAATTGCCCAACGCATTAAATTCAAACTACTAACACTGACATACAAAGCCATTCACAACGCTGCCCAAAACTACCTCACCGACCTGATACCCAAATACCACCCAACCCATAATCTTCGCTCCTCA